TGTACAGAGAGGAAGGGAGAGAGATACAGAGTTAGAAACATCAATGAGAGAGAGTCATCGATCAGCTGCCTCTTGCACACCCCCTACTGGGGATATGCCCGCAACCAAGGTACATGCCCTTGACCGGAATCGAACCCGGGACCCTTCAGTCCCCAAGCCGACGCTCTATCCATTGAGCCAAACCGGTCCTGGCATATCTCAGTTTTTTAAAAACAGGGTGTCGATCACACTGCCTTTGTCATTGCCTCTGTGCTCATTGGTCCCTCCTCCTAGGTTGGGACCCTCCTGTCCTTGTTCCCTGGGCCTCCAGCGCTGGGTCGAGGACCTAACAGAGCAGAACATGAAGCCCCTTAGCTGGGTGGCCAGAGTGTCACCTCCCCAAACCCCAGGGCCCCCTGGCTGGCTCTGCTCCCGCCCTCCTGACCCAGCCGGCTGTTAAGGTTACATTCGTTTAGTGAGGCTAGGTTGGCCCATTTCTGAAGTTTAATTTTTTTTTTCAGGCCATTTAATAATCTCTCTTTCTCTCTTGCCATCTCCCCTGCACCCCCTTTTTCTTCACCACCCTCTTTTTCCTCCCCTGTCTCTGCTTATTCCTTCTTCCTGGCTTTTTTTCCGCTAACCTTAAAAATGATTTTTTTTTTCCCCCAGGTAAACACTTCATTAACTACATTACTTCAGAGTAGTAAGTCTTCTAAAGTAAACGCAGCATATTCTCATTGGTGAATCCTTTGCCCGCAGCTGCCTTCAGATGCTCCCCACATCTTATGCCCTCCCCAACCCCTGACCTAGGGCAGGCCATTCTACTAATACAGTAGGAGTGGGTAGACTTGTCTTGTACTTCCGATTTCTTGCAGGTCACCATTTTAAATGTCTTATTTTGACTACTTCATAGCATGAAACAATCTCAAAGTCAAACCTTGCATACTTGGTCAAGATCAATGCAATTGTATAGAATGGGGATTCTATTATGTACACTTGTTTTTATCCATCCAACAACACGACGTGTTGGAGCACGTGTCTTTAGACTGATAAACAGAGGCCTGTGCCTAGACGTTTGGAGTTACAGGTTTATGTTCATTTTGGCCCTGTTTCCCCAGCGCAGCGATCCCCACGGCCCCTTTCTGCCCGACCCACACATTCCTCCTGACCAAACGCCACGAAGCTCACCGAAGTTCCCCAAGGCAGCATCCCCAGCATTGACCTCCCAAGACTATAGGATTCTTGGACCTGGCATTCCACGATGTTCAAATCAGTTTTTAACATTTTTAGATAGAGAGGGAAAGAAACATTGATGTGAGAGAGAAGCATCTATCAGCTGCCTCTTGTACCCATACTGACCGGGAATTGAACCCAAAACCTGGGTATGAGCCCTGACCCGGGAATTGAACCAGTGACTTTTTGGTGCAAAGGATGAACCGCACCGGTCACGGTTCAAATCATTTTTGGGCCCTCAGTAATCTACACAGCACATGCGGTAGATTCGCTTTTTCTCCTGCTCCCTCTTCTAATTCCTCACACTCATGGCCCACGTGCTCCTGCCTGTTTATGATCCTGGCTTGTGAGCGCCACTTGCTTGCCTGTTTTTACTTCTCTCCAACAGCAGAAGGACTGCTGGGAATCATCTGATGCACATGAAGAGAAAATGAGGGCTTACTAATAAGGTTAAATTAAATTTAAGCAGACTTTTATCAGTGTGTAATGATAACTGTTTGAGATGAGCAGACACAAGCCAGGACCTCAAGGATTTTACAATCTGGAGAGAGGATGAGGAATAAGACTCCCCATACATACATGAGTTCCTGCCAAATACGGTGAAGCCCATGAGAAAGGAATAAATGAAAGCAGGGGTGCTCACGCTTCCCCAGGGAACCAGGAAAGAGACCGTGCGATGTGAGCGAATGGCTGGGATGGAGAGCGAAAGCCCTGAGCTTCCCTCCAGGCTCAGTCACTGGTGAAATGATAAGCCTCCGTGTTCCTCCTTCCCAGGAGAGGCCCCCATACCATCCAGGGCCCAGTGCGAGATGAGCACGCAGGGCCCCTTGTTAAACAAATGGAGCGTTTCAGGACGGTGAGAACAGAGCAGAGGACCCTTCTCAGCACCGGTGGCACATCCAGGGGCCTGGTCTTCTCCACGGAGTCAAGTGCCACCAGTGCCCAGCGCAGGGCCTGCTACTCAGACGAATCAGTGAATGACTGGAAATAAGAAGGAATTGAAATGGCCGAAACCGGTTTGGCTCAGTGGATAGAGCGTCAGCCTGCGGACTGAAAGGTCCCAGGTTCAATTCAGGTCAAGGGCATGTACCTTGGTTGTGGGCACATCCCCAGTAGGGGGGTGTGCAAGAGGCAGCTGATCGATGTTTCTAGCTTTCTATCCCTCTCTCTTCCCCTCTGTAAAAACTAAAAAAAAAAAAAAATATATATATATAATGAATTGACATGATTACCTCTAATGATTTCTTGGGTTGCTTTCACTGTTAAAATATTATTAGACCATGATTCTGAATAACTTCTGGAGGAGACATTTTAGATGAATCTTAAAGGACAGGATTTTTCTTTCTCTCTGTCTCGCCCTCTTTCCTTCCTTCCTGTTCTTCCTGTATTTTTCCATTTAGCTCATACACGCTAATGGTAATGGTAGGCTTTCCACTGAGAAGCGCAACAGTCACACAGACGGGGACCAGCAGAGGCGTTCACATTTGAAGGCTATGGCCTCATTTAAGATTCCTTGAGGCAGTTTCCCACGTACATCAGATGCCCACGGTTTAGAGTCTGGTTTTTCATTTTAAAATTATTTTGTTTTATGCTCATTGAACAAGTTGATAGATGTTTTTGAAGGAAAAAAAATCAGAAAATTATAGAGGAGCAAGAAATTTGACATAGTTCTAATGGAATTGCCGTATAAAACTACTTTTTCATTCAATAACATATTATGAGCATCTATATGTGTTAATAAGTGTCACTATACTCCTTGTTATGGTTGTTGGTATTGTGTCATTTGGTTGTATCATAATTTTCTTATCCAATCCACTCAATTGGATGGATATTTGAGTTGTTTTGATTTTTTTTTTTTTTTCTGTCCTAAATGGTGTTGCTCTGGCCCTGGATGGGTAGCTCAGTTGGTTAGAGCGTTGTCCCAATAGACCAAGGTTTCAGGTTTGATCCCTGGTCAGGGCACACACAGGAATCAACAAATGAATGTATAAGTAAGTAGAACAACAAATCAGTGATTCCTCTCTCTCTCTCTCTCTCTCTCTCAAATCAACCAATCAATAAAAAGTTTTAGATGGTGTTGTCCTGAATTTTCTAGGTAGGCGGCTTACTTAGTCTCTCTACCTGTTATTTTCTTCCTGTGTGGAAAACCTCAAGATAATTATAGTATTCCTCCTGGGCTTGTTGGGTTGTGTCCGTGAGTTAACTTAGGTAACGCTCTTAGGACGTGTACAGAAGAGGGCATAGCAGACTGGTTGTGCTCAATAAAGGCCTTTTTATTATGTACAGGCCCAGAAGGAACTGTCTTTCCTATGTCATGGAGGAGGTTAGTGGGGGAGCCTGGGAAGCCTGATTCCTAGCAGGATGAGGTGGAAGTGGAGAGCAGCCTGGGCTGGATTCCCTAGGTTGAGCAGTTTTGTAGTGGTGTCTTGTCTCCTCAGCTGCAGGGTAAGCCCCCAGGTGGTGAGGGGTCTTCTAAAATTCTATTTTTTACACAGAAGAGGACAGCAGGTGCTCAGCAAAGGCTTGTCACCGTTACTTGACATCTAAGAATGTTAGCAGATGTGTTTCCCATCTAGGCTGGTCTTTACGTTGCCACACATAGCCTGTTCACTGGGAATGTGCCCTGGCTGGAGATCGCCAAGGGCAGCTGACCAAAGTCATTCTGTTCAGCCCACGGAGGACTGGGATGTCCAGGGATGTGGGAAGCTAAGCCTGAAGGGAGCAAGTTCCAGGCCAGCTATTCGCTGGCCCTGTGCCTTTGGACAAGCAGAACTGGAGGTCAGGATGGTGTTGTACAATGGTTAGCTCTGAGCTCAATCTATCAAAGTACTCTTTTCTCCTTGCACTTTACCCTGTTTTATTTTATTCACTCTACATTCCACATTGCAGGCAATCTTATTTATTCACCTGTTTGTCTCCCTCACTAAAAAGGAGGCTTCATGAGGGGAGGGGCCTTGCTTGCTTGGCTTTTCTGCAGTGACTGACTCAAGGGCCCAGCACATGCCTGCCACGCAGCCCTGGAATAAATGTGTTGCATGAATGAGCACTCGGAGCCTGAGTTCAAATCCTGATTGCACCACTTTCTATTTGACCTTGAGCAAGCCATTCAAACCACACCTCCGTTTTCCTGATATTAATCCCTGATATTAAATAGGGATTAATATCAGTGCCTCTCTTTTAAGGCTATGAGGATCGAATGAGAAAATATCCAGGAAGCATTCAGCACACTGGCTGGCACAGAGGGTAATACGGAGAGTAGCAAACATGTATGTATCTTGACAGCCAGACACTGACTTCCACGCTTTACCTAGGTTAACTCTACTCATCTTTATTGCATCTTATTATTATTATTATTATTATTATTATACCATTTTACAGAGGAGCAAACTGGGGCACAGACGTGAAGTAACATATGACCTCGAGACATGATAGCTGTTATTTTATTATTATTATTTTTGTCCAAGATTCCTTCTCAGCTTCTCGTGGGCGATCCTTCTGAAGGGCCGGAGGGATCCTTCGGCCTCGCCCGCCGCGGGCCCGATGGAAAGGGTATAACGGGGCCCGCGCGCGCTTCGTCTGCCTGAGAACCGCGGGCCCGCGCGCGCGCGCGCGCGCGCGCGTGCGAGGGGCTGACAATGCCGCGGGGCGGGGCGGCGGGCCACTTCCTCGCCTCCCATTGGCGCACACGCCCCTTCCTGTCACCCCGGAGCCCGGCCCCGCCCCCGGGCCCCGCCCGCCGCCCGAGCGCCGCCGGAGTGGACGGTTCCAGACGCATGCTAATGAGGGGGCGGCCGCCGCAGCCCATTGGCCCGCCGCGGAGTGTCGGTGAAGTCAGCGCCGAGTCCCAGAAAAACAGAGCGGGGCCAACTGCAGCGTGGAGCGCGAGCGGGGCAGGACGCGCGCTGCCCGCCGCCCGCCGCCCGGCGACCCGCAAGGTAAGCCCGCGCCGCCCGCCCGCCCGCCCGCGCTCCCCGGGTCCGCGGCGCCGGCGCCGGGGCGTGCGCCAGCCCGGCCCCCGCGGGCGGCGCCTTTGTTCCGCGCTCGGAGGAGGCGCGTTTAAAGGGCCAGCTATTGGAAGGACTTGGGGACCCCCTCCCCCCGAGCATCCCCTTCATAGTCACAGGGAAACCATGTCTCTCCCCCCCCCCCCCCGCCCTCCATGGCCGAACCCTCCCTCCTTCCTGTCACTCTTTCAAGGAAAGTTCCCCAGGGTGCGCGGGTTCTGGGAGATGCCAGGGTTTTGGGGTTATTTTTTTGGTGGGTCGGGGTACGTGCGATCATGGCCTCGGTCAGGCAAGAACGCCCGCCAGCTCCAGGCCGGCTGCAGTGTGGGCGGTGGAGGCGGCATCCACGCCCGGGTGGGTCCGCGGGGTGAAGTGAAACTGCCGGGGAGAGCGAGGCTCCGGTGCCGCGGCCCGGGGAAGGAAGGAGCGAGCGAGCGCAGGATGGAGGCATCTCAGGTGTTTCATTCATCAGCATCCTTCCTGGAGGAGAGGGCGGCGGGAGGGGCCGAGGACGCCGGCCTGGCCCAGGGCCCGCCCGAGGGAGCGGGTGCCCGTGTGTGTCCGCGTCCGGGGACCGCGTGCCTGCCACCCGCCCGGGCTCCGTCCCCCGGAGCGACCGGCCGGCCGGCAGCCCGTCCCCGAGCAGATGGGCGGAAAGCGCCTCCCTCCTCCGAATTCCCCGGGCATCCCCGGCTCTCCCCCGGCTGCTTTACGGCGTGGCTTCCTTGATAAGCGGTGGCTCTGTTCAAAGATAGAGGAGGAAAGAGGCTTGAAGTCATTTATATTCCTTTCATGGAGGAATGCACTGTCGAATTCTGCATCTCCCCCCCCCCCCCCCGCATCCGCTGTCGTAAGATGTCTTTGAAATTCAGCAGTGCATGCTTTCTTCAGGCAGACAGGATTTATTACGCGGTTACACTGCTCCGTAAAAGCAGAAGGGATCCCACTGAGAGTGGCTCGCTTTATCCAGACCCCCGGGGTCTTCCCGGCATGTTCTGGCTGAGCCTTTGGATTTTTTGTTTCAAACTGAGCGCTAGGATGCTCCTGTCTGTTGTCGCCGAGCAGACCTGCTGAAATTGGCCGCACTGATCTCACCATCAATAGGAGGGAGTTTATTTAGAGATACCGCGGAACTATCCCGGCCTGCCAGGCATCTGACATCACCCCCCCCCCCCGCCCCTTTTCCTCTCACAAGTGAAGGCCAGGGATGGCTTGTCTGTATCCTCTCCCCTCGTTTGTTTGTTTGTTTGTTTGTTTGTTCTAGCTCCTCTAGATTCAGTTTTGTGTTTTTGGCTTGGTAGTGATCCAAGAGAAGGGAGACATTGTCATTTCAAAGAGGGGTGGGCAGCCAATGTGGACAGGAACCTCAATGACAGAAAACACATCCTGGACATTTTCGGACTCCAGACGTACAGCCCTTAAGAGACATAGGTGAGAGGGGTGGCCGTCTAAGAGGTGAAGGGTGTGTGTATGGTGTGGTGTGGTGTGGTGTGGTAAGGCTGTGAGGGGGGGTGGGAGAAGAGGATGCTGCCAGCAATTTTCTGCCCCACCCTCTTGATGCTCCTTAAATAGCTCCATGCCAGCCAAGCTCTGGTGTCCCAGGCTCTTTCCCCCACCCCAGGGAGGAGTTGGTCCGTTAGTTAGGCACTATTAGAGTTGATGGTTGGTTAGTCAAGGGTTCCTTCTCCAGGATTTCTGGGAGCTCATTTCTCAGCTGGAGGTGTGTTCCCCCGCCCCCAGGAACTATTATAGCTCTGGTGACTTCCCCACAGGGTATTAGCAACTGAAAAGAAATGCTTCCTACCCCATAGGGTGGAGAGAATTGTCATTTTCCATTGGACACCCACCCCCTGTTGGCCCTCCCCTCCTCTGACCTGCTTTTCACTATTCCAGTTGGAGAGTTGCTGTGAACTTTTCTGAAGGGCTTGGGGATATTGGGGGGTGCGGAAGGAGTTAGGGAAAGGACCAGCAGATGGATGCTCCTTACTAGCAAAACAAAGAACTGTTCAGCTCTCTCCTCACTTCCCCTCTCCAAAATAGAGTTCCGTGTAGATAGCAGGGTCTGGGGTTTTCTTTGCAGAGAATGAATGGGCAGGGCTCTCCGGAAAGCAAGCTTTTATGAGGCCGTGTTAGTAATTCCTCTGGTCATTGGATTTAGTTCTAGACTCTTCCCCGGACATGGACATGGATTTGCTGTAGAGGGCACTCACTGGTAACTTAGGATTTATTCTGTCTCTGTGAAAGAGGCAATGGATGGTTTCAGAAAGCTTTGGTGGAGAAGTTTTGGACCAGAAGAAGGTCATTTGGCTTTGATCCTAGCTACCAACCTGCTTTGGGCTCTGGGCTAATAGTGGCTTTTGCTCTCTGGGCCTTGGTAAAGTGGAGGGCTTTGGAGCAGACTGTTTTCCGAGGTTCCCGACAGAATTACTGTTCTTAGATTCAAAAGTACAGTTTGTGGTGGCATTTTTAGATTTTTTTTTTTCTTTCTGTTTGCTAAACTGATGTTCACTCCACAATATTGCTCAATGGCATGAATGAAGCTTTTCAAGACTCAAGCTTCTGTTGGATTCAGACTCACCTTTTTCTTGATTAGTGTGATTCTTGAGGTTTTGTTATAATTATATAAATAATTCAGAACTAGATCTGCCCAGAGGAAGAGGCGCAGACCCTCAGAGTGGGTGGCTGGCTGGGCAGACGAGGGTGGGATGGGAGAATGCTGAGGGAAGGGAGTTGCTATAATTCATTCTCTTTCTCTGTGTGCTTAACTCAGAGGTTAACTTATGGTTACATAGGTGACTGTTAGATATGTAGAACATGAGAGTTGGAAGAGTTCCTCTGTGATTGCCAGGTTCAGCCTCCCTCACTGAGTAACCTGAAGGGTTGGAAGATTTGGTGATTTGTCTGATATCATACAGCTAACAAGATGCAGAGCTGGGCAGAATCCCTAATGGATATAGATTCTAGGTCTTGCACTCTAAATGTATCTCTGAAGCCCCCTCCTCTGGCAGAAGTGATTCTAAGATGGGATAAAGTGAGGAGGACATAGGGAGAGGTTGGAGAAACGGACTGAGGAGGAGGTTGAGGGCAGGTGGGGAAGGGGAAACCAGATATCAAGCTTTGAGGAGAAAGGATGGAACTGGAAGTGGGGAGTGGGGCTCTATCAGCTGTGAAATAGCAGATTTCTGCAGCCCTGAGAGTGAAGTTAGTACAAGAGTCTTGGCTTAGACCAGGGGTAGGGTAAGTGGCCTCAGAGTCCAGCCTGGGGCTGGGACTAACTCGGATCTCCTTGGGAGCGCTCCTGTTGACCCTCTGATTGCAGTATGGAGGCTGCTTCGTTTCAGGGCCAGCTGAGGCCTTTGGAACTACTGGGGCTCACTGAACTTGAACATGTGGCAAGTCAGGTGTGCTGGTGGTGATGCTGGAAAATGCTGAGGTTGGACCCAGTTCTGCTGAAGTCCCAGTTTTTTTTCTTCTTTCTTTCTAATGCAGAAAATGAAAAAAGTTTTCCCTGGAATTTCTTTTCAACTCAAGCAGCATTTTCTCCTCTGACTTCCATTGCACGTTTTTTGAGGTAGTGTTTCATGTACTCCTTTTCAGAGGAGATACTTGGGAATGACTGACTGACTGAATTGCAGCTCATTTGGGGGGAGAGCTAAGTCTCAGAATGTTTCAATGATCAATTAAAGAGCTGTGAATAGTTGTTACCCAACCTGTAACCATTCAAAGGCATAATAGGTGATACTGCTGGAAGTCCATAGCCCAGTACAACAGCTGACCACGTACAGTATAATCCACTTTGGCTAATTTGGAGGCCTAGGAAATATCTCTGGATTTTAGTTGCTCCTTCTTGTTGTGTATAGTTAGGCATGTGTCTGTCCCTTTGTCTCACTATCTTCCCATCAGTTTCCCACATCTTTCTCTTCTGTACATTTCTCTTTCTCTGCTGTTGTATCTTTCTCTTTTTAAAAAAAAAATATTTTTATTGATTTTAGAGAGGAAGGGAGAGGGAGAGATAGAAACATCAATGATGAGAGAGAATCATTGATTAGCTGCCTCCTTTACGCTCCCCACTAGGGATCGAGCTCTCAACCCAGGCATGTGCCCTTGGCCAGAATTGAACCTGGGACCTTTCAGTACGCAGGCTGACGCTCTACCCATTGAGCCAAACCAGCGAGGGCGTATCTTTCTCTTGTGACTCCTCCCCATCCTTTCTTTACTGTCAATGATGTGACTTTGTAGTGTATTTTAATGTGTTTATTATGTCATTAAAATTTCATCTTCCCTTTTTTGTTATTTGAAATCAACCGAGTTCACTCATTTTGAATACGTGTATATGTGGTTTACACACGAAACAAATAAACCAAACCCAATTGAATTGCTTTTTACTTCTGTGTGGTCTTCATTGATCCACCATCCTCTCTTTTGTGGTCAGTAGTGGCTCTTAAAAAAAAAAAAAAAAAAAATTCCCAACTCACTGTCATGTGGCTATTGTTATAACAAAAAACAGCTATAACAATGGAAAAAGTTTCCACCCTAGTATTGTGGACACAAGGGACACCCTCTCCCAAGAGATGTGCCCTATTTCTTGACTTCCTGCCCTAGAAGCCTATCTGCAGTGCATTCTCTAACAGACGCCTGCGCTGTAAGGGCTGGGGTGGGGGTTGGGGTAGCGTGGAACTGGGCTCTTGTTGGTGGGCAGGCTTATGGCCAAGAGAGCACTCTTCGGTCCTTGGAAGTGTCTCTGAGGATCCTTTATAGTGTTCCCTCTGAAAAATTCAGTGCAATGATTTTTCTTTGTTTCCCCAGGCTGAGCTAACCCCCACCCAGCAGGAGCAGCAGCCAGGCCCCTTTGGAAAAGAATAAGTTGCTTCCCAACATCCTGATTCTTGTGGGTTAGGACCCAAAGGGTATCTCGTGGTGGCAGCCACTGG